CTTCGAGAACAAAATTTTTTATTGAAAAAAAAAACAAACGCACCTATCGCGTTAAAATTGTCTTAATATTGGATTATTGAAAGTTATAAATTACGATAATATTGGAGGGCAGAGGACTGTATTTCTAGTAAATATTTTAGCCGCTGATATAAGATTATTATTAATATACTCTTTGAAGCAAGAAATTGGAAGAAATGTTTTCAACGGCAGTGTGGAGGAGCGTCAATGTTTTGGATTTAGATACTTGAATCAAATGTGCGAGAGAAATTAATTGAAAACATAATTCGAGACCCATTAATCGTTTATTTATCGTTGTTATTAATTGTAGCTTTGTAATTGAACAAATTTTACCGCGTACCAAAAAGGTCTTTGCGGTTTCTTCTGGTTTTATTCAAAAGACTTGGCCAGTTCGTTCATGCGTACTCGTACAATTATGACAATGTTTTACACCGATTAACTCGACGCTTAAAAGAAACATTCTCTTGAGGATAATTTTTGTCACTTTACCCACTCTCTCTCTCTCTCTCTCTCTCTCTCTCTCTCTCTCTCTCTCTCTTTCCTTTCATTACTTCTTTATTTAGCAATAAATTGTTATTGTTTTATTCATATATATATATATATATATATATATATATATATATATATATATATATATATATAAAACAAAATAAAACAAAAAGGAAAACATAAAACGAAAACGAAAAACGAAAAAAAAAACCTCCTCGTGGACTTCGATTGTGTATCCCGACCATCTCCCTCCCGTCCATCCGTCGATCAATCGTCTCAGTCGAGCGGCGAAGCAATCGAGGATTTCACGGCGTGAAGCCAGCATTCGGCAAAACTAAGAAAAATAAAGGTAAAAGTCTGGCGTTCCCGGGGTCGGGTCAGGGCTTGCGCGCCAATGAGCAAGATCACCGTGCGAAACGGAGTTCGAGGAGAAGGACGTCGAGGTCGTGGAGTCATTGAGGCATCGGAGTGTCGGTGTCGCGCGCGCGCGCGCGCTCGTGCACTTCCCTGTCCCGGCTGCTGCAACAAGTGGCTTTGACTGCACCTACATGCCAACATGCCGTGGGTACGGGTGGGAGTCAGAGGGAGTCGGAGCGAGAAAGATAGCACCATAGGCGGCATGATATAGGTGCGTGCCGTGAGCCGCAGCTGCATGGTATTTGCCCGTGGATGCCGAGGGAGCGAGATAGAATAAGAGAGCGAGAGAGGGGAGGGGAAGAAGCAAGCGAGAGGAGAACGGCGATTGCGGCGGCGGCGGGGGGTGGGGATTGGTTGCACATGGGGCGAGCGCGCGACTTTCACGGCAAAGTAACGGCGATGCCAGAGTCAGAGTCGCGGCAGTAAAGAGGAGAGAAGAAGACGACGGTGCGAGCTACGGCGGTAGCGGTGGTGGTGGTGGTGGTGGTGGCAGTGGCAGTGGCAGTGGCGGTAATGGTGACGACAACGAAGACAACGCCGACGACGCCGACGACGCCGACGACGCCGACGACGCCGACGACGACGACGACGACGACGACGACGACAACGACAAGGACAATAGTAGCGACGTAGCAGTAGCGGTAGCGGCAGCATCAGCATCAGCAGCCACGGCGTCTTTTTTCTCCTCCTCCACTTCGGCCCGCAATCACTGGAATAACTCCATTCTTCCACGGCCCGGCATTTTCGGCCGAACGCTTAGCCGGCCAATGAGGAAGGGGCCGTTGGGCTCCGCGGCTTTCTTTCGCCGATAGTTTGTTGTAAAACGCGGCCCTACGTACGCTACCGCTGCCTGCGAGAGGGGAGAGTCGCACGCTGCTGCGGTCGCGGCTGCTTTCACCGGGACGTCCCGACCTCCTCCTCATCATCTCCCACGGAGCCAACAGCGACGCGAGTGAGCGAGCCAAAAGCGAACGATCCATGTGGGGATTAAAATCGGCGGCGGTGAGTGCCTGGGGGCCTTTTTTCCCCTTGCTCGTCGCTCGGCCCAGGGCCGCTTCGTGCGCGAGTGACACGCGCGCGCTTTTCCCGCGATACCCGGCGGTCGAGGGCCGACGGGGTTGGTGGAGGGGGCCGATTCAAAGGACGCGGGCGAACGTACGATCTGCTGGCTTTGGAAAGTGTCGCTCTTGGATGCCACCAGGATAGGCGCTTTAAGGATCGTTGGAAGATTGATCCACCGTTACATTTATACGCGTGTCCGTGCCAGTTGAAAATGTTTTTTTTTTTTGGGGGAGGGTGAGAAAGGGAAGGCTTGCGAGTAGCGAATGAACGTACGCACGCACGCACGCACGCACGCACGCACGCACGCACGCACGCACGCACGCACGCACGCACGCACGCACGCACGCACGCACGCACGCACGCACGCACGCACGCACGCACGCACGCACGCACGCACGCACGCACGCACGCACGCACGCACGCACGCACGCACGCACGCACGCACGCACGCACGCACGCACGCACGCACGCACGCACGCACGCACGCACGCACGCACGCACGCACGCACGCACGCACGCACGCACGCACGCACGCACGCACGCACGCACGCACGCACGCACGCACGCACGCACGCACGCACGCACGCACGCACGCACGCACGCACGCACGCACGCACGCACGCACGCACGCACGCACGCACGCACGCACGCACGCACGCACGCACGCACGCACGCACGCACGCACGCACGCACGCACGCACGCACGCACGCACGCACGCACGCACGCACGCACGCACGCACGCACGCACGCACGCACGCACGCACGCACGCACGCACGCACGCACGCACGCACGCACGCACGCACGCACGCACGCACGCACGCACGCACGCACGCACGCACGCACGCACGCACGCACGCACGCACGCACGCACGTATACACGCACACGTTCGCCGAGGCCCACTTACGAATGTGCGCTAGTTTCGTTTTTGTTGTGTTGTGCACAACGGCGGCAGCGGCAGCAGCTGTGAACGGCAGCCAGCACTTGGGACTGTGCGGGGGAAGCCAAGAGAGAGAGAGAGAGAGAGAGAGAGAGAGAGAGAGAGAGAGAAGGAGAGAACGAGAGCGGAGAAGTTTAACGTTGAACTGCGCTGCTGTGACCGCGACCGCGACCGCGGATATATCACCAAGAGTCCTAATCGCGCGCCGATCGCTCAAACACGCGAGGAAGAAGTAAGGCACTGGCGATCGATCGATCGATCGATCGACGGATTGGAAATCGTCGCGCTGCGACTGTAACAGTGGCGGGTGCATCCTTCAATCGGCCTTGAAGGATTTTAAGGAGGGCCCCGCACGAGGCTGCTGCATTTTCGTCTTTCTTCGGACCCGAGAAAGGCGCGCTACTACTGTTGCCCCTTTGCCCGCGGCTTATTTATCTTCATTTCCCAGCTACACGCGAGTGCTGTGTTAACATTGGTCGTGGTGCCGCTCCTCGGGTCTGCCTTTGTAAACTGTGTAATATGGGGATAGACGAGAATAAAGAGATAATGGAAAGGTGCTTTTGACCTCGCGGAGCCAGTGAGTTTTAGGGATTCGTCGTGGCGTGTTCTAGGCTCTATGCTTGTTTAGTAAGAGCTTATTGGTCGTTGCCAACTGTTGTTTTCAACTTTTATGTAATTATAAGAGCGTTATTAAGAGCAATGTGAATAAGTGGGAATTATGATTTATTAGCTTTATAAGTTTTATAAGTTTTCAGCAATGGTGTATAAGGAGGAGTAAATAATGCTAAAATTTGTGTGTTGTGATTCGTTGAGTCGCTGGTTGCAAAAGAAAATATTAATGGAAGCTGTTGCTAATGGGACGTTGATTATTAGTAAATTCAAGGCAGATATTTGATATTTTGTAGGCAGTGATGAAAGTCAGTTGTATTTATCAATGTTATATAAAAAGGAGGAAAAGTACATTATGCGAGAGACCCGTTTACTTAACTGATTTATGGTTTGCGCTTGACTCAAGCACTAGACTCAAAAACGAAAAACTCACCATTTCAGGCAGAGATTTGAACGAGGAGCCTCGATCGCAAGCTTTTATTTTAAGGAGCACGTTTTAACTTTTTACTCCTTATTTATCCGCTAAAGCACAAATTGTCCCTTTGTTTCAAAATTATTTGCTTTATTTTTTATTTGTTGATCTTTGTGTGCTAAATGCCAAACTTAGCATTTGCGTAAAATTTAGTAAAAATATTGCATTTTACTGAAATTTTATAAATAACTTATGATTTTTGTGCTAATGATTATTCCTTTTTAATATTCGTAATATTAAATACTCGCTTTTTATATTTATTATTCTTGATGAGGTTCTGGACAATAATTTAATAGTACGGTATATCTTACTGATAAATAATGATGACACTTAAGGTATTATTACCCACTTAAATGAAGTTAATACTTAATTTCACATTACTAGTAGAAATAATTTTTTCGATATACCTATAAGAGATATTAAAAGCTTAGAATAAAGTTCTATCTAATATGCTTATATAAATATTGTCCAATGAGATTGAAAAATACAATTACAGAAGCTCGGAACATAAAATAAACGTATAATTAAACGGTATCCCTTCAATAAATTCACAATATCCGCTGAGCCATAGTATAATTGAGCAAAAAAATTTTATTCCCTAAACGATAAAGAATCTTATTATCATAAATATTACATTGGATATAATATTGTGTCTCTATTTATAGAAACGACAGCTGTCAGAACTGATCGAGAGTAATCACCAGACAAATGAGGACAAAAAGAAACAAAAGTTGAGGAGGCAGTACGTGCATAAAGAAGAAAGAGATAGAGAAGAATAGAAAGTAACTCTTGGAGTTAATGAACTCATTGTCTGCTGAACATAAGGATTACATCATTGTGAGTGACCATGATGAAGTTCAAATCTCTTTTCCGAAGAGGACAACAGAGTCACTCGTCACATCAGAAGCAACATCGGCAACGACCAAACCAGCAGCAACAGCAACAACAGCAGCAGCAGCAGCAACAGCAGCAACAACAGCAGCAACAGCAGCAACAGCAGCAGCAGCAGCAGCAGCAGCTGATGGCAGTTCCACAAAATCAGAGCCATCAGCAAGCGTCAGCATCGGAAGTCAAGACAAGGAGGTCTAGTAACGACTGGCTGTCGCCTTCTTCTACATCCCTAGGTTATCGAGACTCTAGGAGCAACGGACCAAAGCCTGCTGCTGCTGGCAAGATTCAAGGAAATCTACAAGTATTAAAGTTTTTGATCTATAGCCATGTATTTCTAATTTTTTTTTAATTGAAAACTGGACAGTACGCTATCCTTAAATCAAGTCTTAACACAAATACTTTATGCAATACTTTATCAAAATTCTCAACTACTATAGATTTATTAAAGTATTTTGATTTCATTACACACATTGTACATCTTGTATCTTTACACCGCAAATTTCACATAATTTTTACATCGATTAAACTCTGAAAGTATTCTTTAGTTATAGCATTGAATTAATTAGCAATTGAGAATTGCCGTAACCCAAGCGCCATCCGTTAATTAATATTTTCACAATTCTACCATCTACCATACTCTACGCACACCAATATTTTGAAAATACTCGTTCAAAACAAACTTACGTGATTTATTAAGAGTAAAATATAGATAAACGTACTGTTGTAACTGTCAAATAGAAAAACAATGATAATTAAAGCATCTATAAAAACAGTTTTACAAGCAGCCAATACTAGCAAGTCCAAATGTAGATAGCGCGCACTAATCTCATTACCTTATTATGGAATTCATAAAATGTCGAAATACTTTGATTAAATTTCGTATAAAACGCAAAAAATTACCAAGAAAAACGAGGAAAGGCCCGGTAAGAAAAAGTATTTACAAGCAGTGGGGAGCAACCCAATAATTTGTCGCCAAGACCGTCTTTTGTCGCCAAGAGCACGTGTTTATTTAAGCAACTCTCGCGCTCTCTCATTATCAGGAACACCGCGTAGCGTAACACAAAGCCAACAGAGACGGAATTGTTAAATTACCGACAGATCAAACGAGACCAGACAAAAAACAATGTACTTTGCTCGCTTGACACGGTCGCTCCGATCTTTTGAAAAATTCGATCTTTTGAACTTTTATCGATTATGTTAATTAATTAATATCTACTTATCAGTGCCTCTGCATTACAGAGCTCGAATCCGTCGGGCACGGCGAGCGCGGCGAACCCGTTAGCGTCTACGACGACGACGATGACGATGACGATGACGATGACGGCGACGGCGACGGCGACGGCGACGACGACAACGACGACGACGACGACGACGACGACGACGACGACGACGACGACCACTACGTTGTTATCGTCGTCCAAGGTCTCGACTGGCTCGAGATCGTCGGTGACGCCCGCGGCGAGCACCGTCGACTACTTCACCCGCCTGCAGGAGCTCGAGCGCGAGAACGAAGCCCTGAGGATGGAGCGGGCGCGCCTCGAGGCCAGTTACAGGAACGTCACCGCCAATAGCATGGAGAGCCGCCGTTTCGACGAGCAGCACGCCGAACTCGCTCACCTGAAGGTGCGTTCCCAAGACTTATCCCTTCGTCATTAAATGCCTGCCTGCCTGCCTGCGGCACTCGTCCATTGCTCCAAGCGGAGCCGGGGCCGTTCGTGTTATTAAGCACGAGTGAACGCGCGTGAACGACCAGGGTCGCGGATTTTTCATTTTTAACGTCCCAATTGCGTGGTATGGTAATTGAATGGGTGACCGAATGGGGGTGGGGTGGGGTGGAGTTGAATAGAAGTTGAAGCGTCTTAACGAGTATGTCCTGTAAGTGTGTATTTCTTGTTGTGGAATGTGCTTGGGAGTGGAAGTGAGAAATTTCGAGGTCTCTTGGATGATAATATTGTTATTCCGTTGATTTATTATCGATTGTGCTGTGCTCTAGAGGAAGTGTCTTAATAGGGGAATGTATCGTTGATTGTGCGCCACATTTTTTCCTCTTCCTTTTTCTTTTTCTCAACTGCACGTCAATTTATCAATTTAAAGGAAAATTATTTTTAAGATCGAGTATGTCAATTGCCAATTCTGCAGATGATTATTCGCTTATTTTGAAGTGGAGAGAGGCTTTTATCTTTACTGTTGTATCATTTACTGATATTTTACTTTATTATTGTATTTTAATTTTTCCTCTTTTTTTTTTTTTTTTTTTTTTTTTTTTTTTTTTTTTTTTTTTAACGTAAGCTTCCCGAATTTTGTTATATTAGATGATATAACTATTTTATATATATATATAAATGTTTGCATATAATACGTAATGTATTATTAATATGTGTTGAGATTTCATTTTTTGACATATTTGATCCGTTAGTTCAAAATTCAGGACGCGCAGAGCGATAATCTAAGATAAAGTAAATAAAATTTAAAGGAAATACAATAGATCGATGATATTTTTATTAGATTAGTTATTATTATATTAGTGGTTTTACACGAGGCTGGTGTTAAATATCTTTAAATCCTTGACAATTTCATATCATATTTTGATAAATAAAAGTGTCTTGTTGATATTTTCAGTAAGAAAATTTGAATGTTTAGCTTAGAAAAATTTGTCAGTATTATATATTTTAGTATTTGAATAACGGTAATGAAAAATGATGACGACGACGACGACGATGATGATGATGATACTCGTTATATAATGATATATTTGAAACTTGGATATTATTCAGTGAATTTTCATACTTTGCTACTATAATATTCCTTTTATATTACAAAATAGTGTTGGTGAAAGTTGCCGAAACAAAATTTCTTTTATGACTTTCTATAGAAAGGGATATGATCTTATTATCGATTGATGTATAATAAAATAATTTGTTTGCAAGAATTGAGCTGTTATTTAGAAAATATGGATAGTAGGAGTATCGGGGAAAATATATTGTGACAATAATTATGACGTTTCGGCTAAATATTAATATTTTTATCCAGATTGAATATTAAATAATTTCAATATTCAATGAATATATATTTAAAGAATAAATAAGAATTTGCAGTTACATTTTACTTTTTTCTTATTATGATTTTACACTATCACGTATTGTATATTGTGGGATCGTGGATTATACGAAACGTACGAAAAACATTTGCAATCGTCGTTATCTTATGTGAACATGGTGGTGTTAATTCATTAAATACCTTAACAACGTGGACAAATCGAACATAATAAGTAAGTATGCCTTAAGCACTTGTTACGGCTCGTATTGTCATTGATCACATAATAATTAATTATGAAGGAATATTCAGTATCGATTACATCTATATAATGTCAATAATTCATTTGCCTGTTATAGGCTCAAAGCACAAAAACAAAATGACAATATTATTTTGCCTTCGAACGCATTGTTGCTTATAAATTCATTGATTTCAAGCTAGATACGTCTTTAAAACAATAGGTCTCACATTTCGAAACGAAACAACAGCTTCGGTATGTAAAAGCAGCGTAATCCTCTGTGCAATTGTGCATGCGCATTATATATGATTTATGCAGTTGAGAAAAGGGGCGAACATTTGGTCGGCGGAACGGTGTAGTTGCAATAATCGCGCTGCTCTTCGCTCTTACGAGAAAACCTTTCGATTCGCTCGATGCAAAATCATCTATTATCATCGCTAGCTTGTTTAACGATGTAATGACTCTTTTGTAACCGCGCGACATGACACCTCGCCCTCTCGCAAACTTTCTATCTCGCTATTTACATCTCTTCATTTAACTCCCGAGCCATTGTTCCAGTCTTTCACTTCTTGGTAGCCGAAGAGGGACGGACTTGCTTACGATTCAATTATTTTGTAAAATCTGGATAAACTGTTTTGCCTGCCGCAATGCAAATAATTTCGATACACATTCCTTAACATAAATTAGAATAATAATTAATCTAAAGTAAGTACTATTGGCGCTATCCATCAGCTGCGGTAAATATACGCGCACTTCTAGATATTAAAAGAAAGTATGACAATAAACTTTTATAACAATAAATGTTTGTCTGCTTATTTATTTATTTATTATTTATTTTTTTTTTTATTTTTTTAAATTACGATTACCATAAAAGAAGTTCAATTTTTTATAAAAATGTTTGCATTGTTTCTAAAGAAAATACTTTGTGAGATTTCTTACAAGTTGATAATTTATAATTGGATATAATAGTGATGAAAAAAACTAATCGATGATATTATTATTATAAAATTTTTATAGTATATATCTGTGACGAAAAATCTCATTGACTAAACAAAAATAGAAAGACTAAATTTTAAAAATCACTCGAAATTTTCGTCTTAATTATGAGTGCCGATTTAATAGGAAATACAATACTCCGGTGTATGAGAACGTGCGTGCGTGGCGCGTCTTCGAGTGTGTGACGGAGAGAGAGAGAGAGAGAGAGAGAGAGAGAGAGAGAGAGGGTGAGAGAGAGAGAGAGAGAGGGAGGGGGGGAGAAGCCATTGAACGCTCAAAGCAAATACGCGAGTGAGGGACGTACGCACGTGAAACCTTAAAGTTAAGTCGAGCATTAGAGTGGGAAGGTTACGGCAGGTAATGGTAATGTGAAGCAAAACTGTTCTTCTGTCGTTTGAAAGCGTGTGCACTTATTAAAACAAACGTAGCGAAGTCTGTGAATTCTTAATAAGTGAAATCTTCATGGAGAGACAGCGAAAGAAAATTGATATTTATGAGTAAATAATGGGTCGATTATGTTTGTTTTACATACCAACAAATATTTGTCCATCGCTCGGTTTCCTGATGTTTTTATTTAAGTGAATACTGCGCAACTACAAACCTCGGTATGTATATTATTAGAAATTAGCGATTGTTTGTTGTGCTTATACTTTTACTTTACATAAATAAAAGGTAAATCCTCGTTTTTGCATGAAGCGTTTATTGGGAAAAGTTTATTGACATTTTCAAAAATATGATTTTAAACGATATTTAACATCCCCTTCGGCTCTCTATATTACTATAATCGTTACATATAGTTGTGAAGTTGGCTAATTTGGATTTTCTAATTACATTAATTACCGTCTCGATTGTATAAATAAGGCAAAATAGAATAAATGAGTGGGTATTTTGATCATTATATATATATATATATATATATATATATAAAGATACGGCGAATTTATTAATTTATTAAACTAGTAAATTAAAAATTAATTATATAAATTTTAATGCAGTAATAAAACTGAAGCGAGTTAATGAATAAATAATAAATGTTTGATTCAAAGTTGATTTAATTAATTGATAATATATTTGCAATAAATATGATCAATAAATACATGATTTACGAATAGATATCAATGAATTATTTGTTACGAAAAATGTAAATTATTGTTTTTTTTTTTTTTTTTTTTTTTAATATATAGTTTTTAAATGATAAAAATAGGTGAGAGAAAAATTCATTTTCTTTAATTTTTATTTCTTTACATTATTCAATATCTTAAAACGAATTAGTTATAGAATTGTAATTAAGAATTTCAAAGTAAGATGGACGACATAATTAGAATTTCATAAACTCGACTAATCTCAAGTGAATAAAGTTTTAGAGAAATCCTCAAACAGTATGATAATATATAAATAATCAGCAGAAAACCTGACATACTCAGCATTAAAAAGAAAATTCCATCTTGTTTTACTAAACTACGTATAATTTTATTCTGCTCTAATGCCCTCATCCACCAATTTATATCTAACCGACATATTCATAGTATTAAACATCACGCTCTTGATTTTTTCGCACTACCGACTTTTCCGAGTTCCGCTTCTTCATGTGTGTTAACCTCGTTACGCTCGGGCACTCTGTCTCATTCTCCCTCGTTCTCTCAGATTTTTTTCTCCTTTATTATTATCCATTCAAATAGAAATGAAAAAAATATAAATAAATAAATAAATAAATAAATAAATAAATCAGTGTAATTGCGGTCAATTTTAATCACAAGATAAATATGTAAGTTTATCGATCTTCATCGTTTTCTTCCAATACATCGATCCAAGTAAAAAAAAATTGATGCATTGAGACTCGAAAGACAAAATCCACATGGAAATAATTTAGTAAGAAACATTAAATTTATATAATCACTTGATTATTTTTAATAAAATTGTACTCTATTGTTTTTTTTTTTTTTGTTTTTTTTTTTATCGATCACAATATAATTAATGAAATTTATTCACATTTTTATATTATATTTAAAGGTAATTTATAAATTACCTTTAACCGTCCAATTAATATTTAAATATTTATCAACAATTTATGCAATGAAATTTTTTTTGAAACGTTATTGTAAGAATTTACATTAGACAAAGAGGCGCCATCCTTTTTACTAAAGTCGTATGACAATTTAGTAAATAATAATTTAGTAAATACATTATAACCTTTGTATGTATATAATGTATACAGTTTACATATTGCAATAGAATTTCATGATATTAGGAGCAAACGACGTATTATCATTCTATCTTAGAATTACTGGTACTTCGTAAACATTAATAAAATATTTAATAATAATTTAAAATTCTTATTCGCAAGTAATATAAATTATAAAAATAACTTCACTGTATGAATTACACGCTT